ATGTATTTGAATGCCAAAATATTATTTATTACGTAGCCTACTTCACTCACGTTCCAATATCCACGTAAAACAACATGGTTTGCATAACATCACGGCGGTACGTGATAATGCTTAACGACACAGATTTGACTAAATATTTAAACTGAGCAGTGTGGTTTTTCCATATGTTTGACTGACTGTATTTTATTATGATAGTGAACAGACTGCATTGTCAAGGTAGCAAAGCTTAACTGTGTGCACGCATGCAGCGTCGGTGCAATCACTTGAGTTTTTTCCTTCTAACAGTGGAAGCAACTACTCCTTTTAGTCATAAAGATAATCAGAATTGTAGTAGTGTATTATTCAATTTTACATTTAAAGTTTATAAATTTTAAATTAATTAAATTACAACTGACATACAAGTTTTCATAGAAATGACATTAAAGTATATTTTAGTTTAACATTAATCCTCGTCAGTACATTCAGCAGTACTTTAACCATATTTCAAAGACAATAGAAGTAATTATGAAATATATAGATATAAAGATGTACTACTTAAGTCCTACTTAAAGGGTTAAGTGGGTCAAAAAAAACACTCTAATGTTCAGCTAACTGCATTTAATGTAATTTTAAACTACAAAATATGTTCATCTAATTGCACTTAACATGGAATTAAATGTCTGAAAACATTACCTTCAGTTCATACATGTATTTTTAAGTATATTATTTCAGTAACAGTACTCTTTTTTTAAACTATACTAAAGTGCACATCTTTTTCACAAGGGTTATGAAAGCTAATAGCTTGTAGAACTGCATCTTTTAACATTAATTCAGTTCACTTAAAAGTTCAATAAAAAGTAAAAAAAAATAAAAAATAAAAATGAACATTTTCTCCACACAGTAATTCTTAAATGTATTTATGTGGAAGTCACATACAGGTACAGTGGAGAGAAGCTTCTGAAGGTCTTCCTTGGAAACGGTTTGACATTTGGTGATGAGCAGACATGACTCACGCACTACGGTCTTCAAGATACACTGCAACAGTTCATCTTTCAGCCTGCAGGGGAAGATGGGAGAAAGTGCTTGCACATGACAGACATTAACCACAAAATCATCTACAGACATTAGGGCCCTATCATACACTCAGTGCAATGCGGCGCCAGGCACGACGCAAGTGTTTTTTGCTAGCTTCAGCCTGACGCAGTTATCATTTTCACGTCCTGCGGCACGTTGTTTAAATAGCAAATGCATTTGCGCCCATCTGTTGGGCGTGCTGGTCTGAAAACGAGGCGTGTTCAGGCGCATTGCTATTTTGAGGCATCTGAAATAGACTGCGCCATTGACCAACTAAAACCTGGTCTAAAGTCTATGCATGTTTCATCTCCGGAGACACGTTCTGTCTTTGCGCTTGCAAATTCCGCCGTGTAAATAGCGAATTCGCCATGGCACGAGCGCAACTGGTTCTTAAAGGGAATGGGAGATGAGACTCTGATTGGTTTATTGCACGTTATGCCCAAAACACACCCATTACTCATTAAGAGAATAGGGACAACCCTTTTAGACCATGACTGTTTTTCCCGTCGTTAAACTAGCAAAAGTGGATTTGGACACGCCCTAAGTGCACCTGCGCCTTGCGCTTTAGACCATGCACTTACATCGTTTAAATAGGGCCCTTACAGTCAGTTATCAAGGTGAATGACACCACATTTTTGTTGAGATGACAAGGATACAACTTGGGTTGTGATCACAAGAAAATGAATGTACATTTTTAGCAGTAGAATAAAATACAGAAGTGAACGATTTAAATTTAACCTAAGCACTTTCCGTCTGAAGAGCAGTGAAACTTGTTACCTGTAGTGGTCATCATCCTCACTACCAAAGCGGTTCTTCTGTAACTGGTTGGCAAGGTTGTTTAATATAACATCACGCAATTGAGACAAACCACTGTTCTTCTCCCCTACAGAGAGAAAAACAAAAAACATAGAAATTATTGGCATATGTTGCGCATCAATATGAAATTGTTCAATGCTGACTTGACTTATAATTATGTATGATTTCTGTACTATGTGTGTCTATTTGCAATTCTCACCCTCTGTGAAAACAAATTTGAGCAGGTTGTTCAACTCCAATTCGCTCTGGTACAAGGTGTTTAAACCTGAGCTAATGAGAATAAAGAAAAATGGTTTATAGTTGTTGCAGATATTGAGATATTCTTTGACTTTTTGGATTTTCTGACTTCATTTTAAGGCTCACCTGATGGCGAGACACACTTCTCTTTGTATTTCCGGCTCTATCTGATCGTGAGGAGCCATGAGTAACTGCCACAGCAACAGTCCAGAACGCTTCACACAGTCTCGGTTCTGCTCTGCATTTAGATTAAAAAACTGGAACACAACCTGGATAAAAAAAAAAAAACATATTTTTATAAATTTTTTTCTGCATAGTTTCCGTTAACAAAGTTACCACTACTACTGAACAGCTTCATCAAAATTGATTAAAAGTCATATAAAATTTAAATATTCTAGCGAAACCCCACCTGAAAGACGACCAGAATGCAGCGGATGATGCAGGTGTCTCCGTTAACCATGGCCTTCTCCATGACGTCACATATGGAGCTGAAGTGGCAGGCCTCCATGGGCTGCTTTCCTATGAAGGGTCCCAGGTGCAGATTACTGCTGGCTGCCAGCAGGTTGAGCTGATGGATGCACATGGCGCCAACATGATGGAGCAGCTGGTTTATCACTTTGGATGTGCCTATCATCTCTTCTGTCATTAAGAGTCAAAAACATATTATAGGGAAATTGATACAGATCATTTCTGCACAAAATGTCAGCACATCTAAACAAAAAACAAAACCTTTGTGTAGCAAGTGGCCTAAAACACGCTCACCCTTGTGAAAAAGAAGTGCACTTCATTGTATTGAATGTGCACTTGTAGTGTACTTCATCTTAAAAGTATATTTAAAAAAAACAATGAAACTGTTAATGTTAATGACATAAAAGGCCACTTAAGTGACTCTTTACTTTGTGTAGCAAGTGGCCTAAAACGCGCTCACCCTTGTGAAAAAGAAGTGCACTTAATTGTATTGAATGTGCACTTGTAGTGTACTTAATCTTAAAAGTATATTTAAAAAAACAATGAAACTGTTAATGTTAATGAAATAAAAGGCCACTTAAGTGACTCTTTCATGAATGTTTCTTAACACACTTAAGTACACTTTTAAGAAGTGACATTTTTTAATAATGTCAAATTAAAAGTTTTACTTTAGATCACATTTTAATAATCCTTTGTCGTGCTTTAAAGTAGTACACTTATTTTGATGGTTTGACTAACAAATTAAAGCAAACGTTAAGCACTTAATTATCATTTTAACTGTAATGTGTTATTTAAAATTCATATATTTTAAATTTACTAAATTGCAACTTCATCGTTACAAATATGTAATTACAAATAGTTTTAAAAATACAAAATATACATATTTTAGTTTGTCAGTACACTCAGCAGTACTTTAATCATCCTAAGACAACATGGTGTCATGTTTCAAAAGTCGAAAATGTTTAGTTGTACAATCTTACACCATACAAAAATCAATTCAAGATAACTGTTTTGTACTTTCTGTTTACATAGGCATATAGTTTCAGTACCTTTAGGCTGACTGATGACGTGACTGACGCCCAGTCGCTGGCACACATGATGGAAGGCCTGATTCCCAGGATTACACCACTGGTCCATGTAGTCGCTGGAGCACGTCCAGATTAAATTGTTAAGTGCATCATAACAGGCCCCTGGAACAGTCATTATAAAAACATAACGTCAGTACTCGTATAACACTTTAAAATGAGAGGAAAGCTTGAAAAATGAAACAAAAGGAAATAAAAAAAATGGAAAAATAACAACCTGAACGTGACAGTCTTTTTTGCAGTATTTATTAATATTTTGAATGAGCTTTTATCTTTATATTTTCAGTTTATTTTGGATAATTTTATTGTGTGCTTTTGTCATTTTGTCACACTTTATCTGAAGCCTGTATTTATAATACATCATAAGAGGATTTTTAATGCATTATAATGCATGCATAATGCTTTATAAACAACCTTACAATATGTTGTATCATCTGATTAATAATCATAACAACAGTTGCAATACATTATAATACTTACCTATTTGAATATGATGCATTATAACATCAGATAAAGCCTGCATTTATAATGCATCATAAGGGTATTCTTAATGCATTATAATGCACGCATTAATGCCTTATAAAAAATATATACAGTAAATACATAAATACACCTATTTGTGGCTATAACTTACAATGCAATACAAATACAGGCTTCATATTAAGTGTTACCGTCATTTTTATTTTATTATAAAAAAAAACATGAATTTGGTCAAAACCTTGATTTTTCTCTATATGAATAGCAGGTCAAGTTAATTGTATTTAATTTTATTTTCTATATAGCGCCACACATAACACACAACAGAAGTCATTTAAGGTTACCTTTCCTATATAATTCTTTTATTAAACAAACTAAATGGCTTTATGTTATTTGCATTTCTGTCTCTACATGGTTGAGCGTTTACAATTCTCCTCTGCTCTCTGTATAGTGCACCCCGATGCACACACACACACACACAGACAGGTGAGCAAATATGTCGCATCAACCACCTGAAAAGCAGACAAAAATATCTGCGTTTTTTTAAAGCTACACACTTTGTGGATAATTGTCATAAAAAGAAATGTTCCGCTGTTTAGTTCAATGTACAGTTCAAATAATTGTTCAGTTGTTATATTGACTGCTGTCATTAAAAGAAACAAATGCATACCACGATTCCTTTAAAGTGCCCCTATTATGGGTTATGAAAGGTTCATATTTTGGTTTTGGGACAGGTTGACATGCATGCAAGGTCAAAAAACACTTTCATTGTCTTATGCATTTATTTTTACCTTATTTGCTCAACGACTCCCAAACGATTCGCTCAACGATTCATTTTTCCAAACCCCTCTTTTGTGTGACACTACTCTGCGGTCATTGGTCCAATTGGTCGCTTTCATTTTCATTTCATCTTGCCTGTAATGCCTGATAAAGCAGCGTTTGTGAGTGCAGTGCTGCTTTGTGTACAGCGTTACCGGGGAAACAGCTATTTTTAGTGGCAAAGAATTAATTTGCATTTTTCATTCAGACCAACGTGAAAATCTACTGATGGTTTTACGCAGCAAATACGCAGAGCTGTAAATGTGAACCGGTATATATTAGGGGTTGCACCGACTAGTCGACGTCAATGCTCTGCCATGACGCTTTAAGCTTGACGTCGACTAGTCGCTGGTCCTATAGAGGGCGCAACAGAATAAGAAATCTTAAAAGTCGAGAATTTTTAAAAATCGAATAGTCGAATAAAATCGACTAATCGCGACAGCCCTATTGGAGTGCAACTTGTGCACAATGCACATTTCTTAATATTAAGCCTAAAATGTGTTTTAATGTCACTACTGATGAGGATTGTATGATCTTTGAATAATATTGGTTTTTAAATGGAAAATTCTTAAAGTGCACTCGAAGTATACTTGCAATAGTTCCACTTTAGCACAATCAAATATACTTCAGTATATCTTTAGTTGGACATTAGCTAGTGTTAATTTTGTCAGGTATTTTCAATTTTAGTCTTAGTCCCGTGTTAAATGTCCTTGTTAGTTTTTATCATATTTAGTCAACCTAAGTGCATTTGAACTCTTGATATCTGGCAACCGCACACTCATGAAAGCTCGCGTAGTAGAGGAGTGTAGAGCAGTCCACAGTAACATTTTGTCTCCTTTTCTTGACGAAAATAAAAAGTTTTAATTTTTTTGAATACATTTTACGTCTTATTTCGTCAAAGAAATTGCATGTCGATATAGTCATAGTTATTGTTTATTGACCTTATTGTCGTCTCGTCTTCGTCTCGTCTTATTCATGGGAAAAAAAACTCGTCAACGAACATTTTTCGTCATAGTTTTCGTTAATGAAATTAACACTAACATCAGCACTACTTTCTCACAATTAAAGTACGTTAAGTACAAAATTAGTTGTTCCAGTTTAGTAGGCCTTAAATATACCGGTTTAGTATCCCAAACATACAATTGCAGCATATTTTTATTAAGTGCTTAAATATGTAAATGTATTTGCAGTACACTTAGCATGAAACAAATGTATTTCAAATACATTTTAGTATATTTATTTTTCACTAGGGAACCCTTTAATTGTTAAATATTTGATTAAGTAAATGTGGTGTTAAGAATGGATAACGTTAAATGATCAATCACCATTCCGACACTATCCATGACAGAGTTCAGTATGAAACGATGCTAAAGTAACAGGTTTAATAGGGTATAAATATCTTACTCTTGAGGGAAGAAAGGCCACTGGAGCCACCGAACAGTGAGCGGGTGGCCGAGCTCCCAGCTACACCTGGAGCGGGTGCCAGCATCACCAGATACGTCCCACACATGTACATCGGCGTCTTCCTCAGTGCTTTTATAGACAGACCACAGCTTGTGTTGACAACTGGGATGAGAGGAAAAAGACAAGAGACCACGATCAACATTGCAATTAAAACTACGGTGAAGAATTACAGCACAGCACAGATGTGAATTTGGAGTTGTGGTTGTTTTGTCTAGTTTTTCCATTCGTTATAGTTATTAGAATTAACTAAAACCATCAAAAAATGTTACCTGAAATAAAAAGAAACTGAAAATAAAATAAAATATAAATAAATAAAAATATATTTTTTAACTGACTGAAATAAAATACAATATAAAAAAAAACATATTTAAAAAAAACTTACTTTATTCCAGATAGCTGCCAAGGAAACATTTCTTATTTTCATTTAGTTTAACCTGATGTACTGAAATAACTAAAACTACTGATAAAAATCTATAGCCTAATAGTATCTCAATGATACTAAAATAACATTTAAAAAAAATACCCAGTTGGTGTACACATCCAAAACCCAAAATTGGTGCAGAACAAAAAAACATTAACCGAAAAAAAAAAATAATAATAATAAAATTTCCACATACTGAACTTAACACTACACTTCTGTTCACTGTAAACGACATCAAATCAATAAAATGATCACTCTTTTCCTTTAAAACCGCACCAATTTGCTTAACTACACTTGAGCAGTTTTTAAGATATTCCAAACATCTTAAAGAATTTGCACACAGTATATATACAGATTTCTTCTGAAACTTGCATGTTGTGTATTTAAATATATTTGTAATCACACATTTGTAATGATGAAGTTGCAATTAAGTAGACTTAAAATAAATTATCTTCAAATGTAGTTAAGTGTGTTCAGAAACAGTCATGAAAGTGTCTCTCTTTAAGTCACTTAAGTGGCCTTTTATTTCATTAACATTATATTACCTGTTAGTACAGTTTTTGAAAAAATATACTTTTAATATTTGAAGTACACTACATGTGAACTTTCAGTAAAATTAAGCGCACTTCTTTTTCACAATGGCTCCCATTATTGTAGAAACTAAGCCAAAGAAGCTGGTGCTTGGGAACAGCCGAGGCACAAACAACATACAGCAGCATTACCTGACTGCTCCTCTTTGACGGGGTTGGTGATGGCGGAGCCGGTGAGAGCAGCCAGCGTGGACGAGTGCGAGGCACGAAAGCGGGACATACGGCTCAGGAGCAGCTCATTCAAACACTTCGATGACTCGCCTTCCTTTCGTGACAGGATTACCCGATCCTGTATAGGACTGGCCACACATAGACCCAACTCAGTCTGGAAAAAACAAAACAGATATTGGGAGCTCGTGAAGTGAGGGTTCATTGAACACTTATTTACTTGCTACATTTATGACAATTCCCTTGTGAAAAGAAGTGCACTTAATTGTACTGAATGCGCACTTGTAGTGTGCTTCAAATTTTAAAAAGTTACTTTTAAAAACTGGACTTGCAGATAATATAATGTTAATAAAATAAATGCCCAGTTAAGTGACTTAAAGAGAGACACTTTCATGACTGTTTCTGAACACACTTAACTACACTTTTAAAAAGTGACCTTTGTAATAATGTCAAATCAAAAGTTTTGCTTTAAAGTACATATTTTGATGTGTTGACTAACATGCTGAAGCACATGTAAAGTACTTGATTATCATTTTAACTCCAGTTTGTTATTCGATATTGCATTTAGAATTAATATATGTACTAAATTGCAGCTTCATTATTAAAAATGTGTAATTACATACATTTTTAAATACATGTCATACAAGTTTCAATAGAAATGACAATAAAGCAAATTTTGGTTTAGCATACATGCTTGCTTGTCAGTACATTCAGCAGTACTTTAACCATATTTCAAAGACGATAGAAGTAATTACGAAATTACATGTAAAGATGTACTTCAGTCCTGCTTAACTGGGTCAAAAAGCACGCTAAAATTCAGCTAATCGCATTAAATATACATTCAAACTATAATATATTTTAAATGAATTGCAAATAATATGCACTTAAGTGTCAGAAAACATTACATTCATTTCACACTTAAGTATATTGTTTTCCACACGTATGCTAAAGTGTGCTTCATTTTCACAGGGGTTACCAGTCATTGCATGCAACGAAAAACTGTAACGTAAATGCAACTACAAAACTGCACAAAGAACAATGAAATATTAGTTTCAAAGTCTGATATTAGCAAAGTCTCACACCGTTAGCTGGAAGACATCCATGAAGACAGAGTGGCCTTTCTGGGTTTTCTCGTTGATGCTGACAGGTGACCAAACCCAGTAGAGGTAGGTACCATCAGAACACAGACGCAGGCTGGTCAAGCTGCTGCCCACTGGGAAGTGATGAAGCGGCATCGCTACCACTTGCGAAACCTTCAACAGAGAGAAACGGGGAACTAGAAGCTTCCACAAACAAATCACTAGTGGTCGACCGATATATCGCCAAGGCCGATATATCGGCCGATATTTGGCATTTTTCAAATATCGGCATCGGCCGATAAGTTTTTGTGTTTGGCTGATGTGTTCGAGGCGGGGCGTTTTATTTTGACGGCGCTGAGAGCGGCAGCGCCTGAACACACAGTGCTCACATTCTCCCACTTGTTCGCTGTCGTTGTTCAGTTCTGTCTAATATGGATAGGTCTATCTAATAATCAGATAGAACTGTTAAACAAAGGAATTAAAATGTATACAAAAAAGTATTATAACGATTGCTTTTATATTGTTAGTAATAGAAAGGCAAACATTATAATACTTTCTCGTTTGCCGTCAGCAATTTCACAAACCTTGCAGACTTAGTCGAATCTAGTTGAGGTCTTGTGAAGTGTGCATTTGTATCCTGCATGATCGAGTGTGCTCTGTGTGACGGTCGGTCCGTGTGATTTGAATACTGACAGGAGGAGAGTTCAGCTTCACTGGAGACGCGCGATCGACAAACTTTAACTCATGATTTCAAATTATGTTGCACTTTATGCATTTGCCCACTGTCATATTCATGTAATTTTCATTGCGTGCTGTATGTAAAATGAGTGTTACCTTGGCTTTATTTGAAAAAAAATATATATATATGATTCCCAATGCACACAAACTTCCCAGAATACTGAGTGCCCTGTTGGTTACAGTGTTTACTTCCTTTTCAATTAGATTTTTATTAAATATTTATTTGAGAAAAATGCTTGTGAAAAGTATGTTTATTTTACACTATTTTTAATCCATTTTCAAATGATTTCAAATTTCTTAAATATTAATTAAAATAAACACAATTATATCGGCTTTATATCGGCCACCCTGCTTTCCAAGATATCGGCATCGGCTGTCAAAAAACCCACTACAAATCACTCATTAAAATGTCATTTTTATGTCCCATAAGATGCTGCACACAGATTAAACTAATTCACACAGGTTTGGAGAGTAAGTAAATGATGACAGGGTAACTGTCCCTTTATGTTACCGTGACAACCATAGTAGAAATAAAGTGTAATGCATGAAAAAAAATCCATTTGTTTACAACATTAATTTGCCCGTCCAAACACTATGCCAGTAATGTTTATTTATTCTCATAATTGTTAATGTGAGGACTTAGGATTTGGTTGTGGCTGTGGTTTTCAATCTGCAGTGCAGTACTGTCATAACTTGATACAAATGTAGATTAAATTCACATTAATTTCTTCGATTTTTTCTAAAGGCACTCTCAGCCACCCTGCTGGTCTAAATGTTGTGCATATAACAGCATATAATGGTATTTTTTTGGGTCTACTGACATCTACATGTTACAAAACTTGGTACACGTGGAGGATTCGAGACTAATTTCCACCATTTGCAACTTTGAGAAATCTGCTTGCAAAATTCAGAAAAAAACTGACATCGAGCAAACCTCCAGACAAAAATATTAATTTCTCAAAACTTTTTGTAATTAAATTTTCAGGAGTAATCCATACCAACTATTTGACATGTTATGAAATTCCAAACTTAAACTGAAATTACAGCATAGAGGGGGTATAAACGTGAAAAAATCTAAATACCAAAATTAAATAAATTAAATAAATTCACATACATGCCAACCCTGAAACAACATAAACTACCAAATTTTGCTACAAGTTTGATTACAACATATAATCATTGCTGTTAATAGTGTTCATCGTCTGTTTGATTACGTCATAAACTGAATTTTACCGTACATTTCTGCCATATGTACATCAATTTGACATAGTCACCACTGATAAGCTACTACTAAATATATTGTAGAAACTTAATTGTCTGTAAAGCTGCTTTGCAACGATTTGTATCGTGAAAAGCGCTATTCAAATAAACTTGAATTGAATTGAATACATTCTTAATTTTACGAACAAAAAAGTTGGCATTCAGCATCCATTTTTTACCAACATTTGCTGAAACATCAACTAAAAGTGAGATGTTTTCCAAAATGCATATCGCATCAGTAACAACTCAACAAGCATGTCCCCAAATCATGCAACTGTTTTATTTTCAAGCATACTTAGAAATAATACACTTTAACAAAATAAAAATTATACGAGTAGAAATATCCAAATACATTCTTGCAATGTCGATTTGAAAGTGCAATGTGAAAGGTGATGGTTTGAGATGCAGGGGTCGTACCTGCAGTGTGAAGGGGTCGATGACGTGGCACAGCTGATGAGATTTGGTGTCAAAAGAGGCTGGACGGTGGAGCAAAAAGCCACTGCTGTGCGCCAACCACCCCGCCTCCAGTTCCTCGTTCCGACAGTACACAAAACCCCTGGGAGGAAGAGCAGAGGACAAAGTTTTAGGTTTCAGAGATGTGCCAGGATTGTCGACAGTTAGTGGAGTTGAGTATTTTTAGCCGTGGTGCTTTTAAACAGAGATGCTATTAACTATAGACCCTTTTTCTGACGGTAAACATTGTGACGTTTTTCTGTGGGCGGAGCTTAGGTGGAGGGAGAAAGATTCCCCTGACCGCCAGCTATTAAGTTTGTTATGACTGGAGAAAATCTGATTTTACCTGCATATGGAAGGTAACTCACTGTCCGGGACCGCGATTGTTATTTGAAAAGGTTAACTTTAACGGACGAAACCAGATCGGTTCACATCTAATGTGTATAGTTAAGACAAACTCACCGTGTCTAATCATGAAGATGTATATACATTTCAATTTCAGCAGGCAACCATTTTTACAGCTACATTATTATTCCAGCCACAATTAATCACAACAATGTATATACAATTAAAAATGTGACCCTGGACCACAAAACCAGTCACAAGGGTAAATTTTTTGATATTGTTTTACACACAGATTTTATTTCATACACGACATAGTCGTGCGATGCATAAGAAATCTTTAGATGCACCGATAACAGCAAAAGACTATACTTTATTGAACCTTTTCTGATAAGAAGTGTGCACTGCAAACGCGAGCATTTTTGACGATCGTTTCTGTCCAGTCCGCTCGTTTTATCGCGTTTAACCACAGCTGTCGTCGGTTTTTTGTCTGGCAGTGGCAGCAGAGATGCGATAAAATTTCTAATTTGAGGCTGTATTACATCCGATTCTGGCACCCAACATCACAACAAGATGATATTTTAAGCACCTTATGTAGCCTCCAGTTTTCCCTTTGTTTTGCCTCCAGCTAGCGCTGTGACGTAATTGTGACGTCGGCCCTAAAAGGGTCTATTAAACAAATACATAAAATATTGGTTCAAGCTAGGGTAGGCGATTTCTTTTTTAGGCGATGCTGAAAGCATAAGATCCCACCCTCCCTGAAAATCACTCTCCAAAGCCACGCCTCCTCCAAAACACATGACCGCGCACAGGCAGAGCAGAGGCTAACCAGCCACACGATGAGAGACGGCATCAACGCTGTCAGATTACCTCCTCTCTCATTCACCGCTGAGAAACATTACAGTACAAAACGCATAATATGTGACCCTGGAGCACAAAAGCAGTCTTAAGTCGCTGGGGTATATTTGTAGCAATAGCCAACAATACATTGTATGGGTCAAAATTATCGATTTTTCTTTTATGCCAAAAATCTTTAGGACATTAAGTAAAGATCATGTTCTATGAAGATATTTTGTAAATTTCCTACCATAAATATATCAAAACGTAATTTTTGATTAGTAATATGCATTGCTAAGAACTTCATTTGGACAACTTTAAAGATGATTTTCTCAATATTTAGATTTTTTTTGCACCATCAGATTCCACATTTTCAAATAATTGTATCTCGAACAAATATTGTCCTATCCTAACAAACCATACATCAATGAAAAGCGTATTTATTCAGCTTTCAGATATGCATAAATCTCAATTTCAAAAAAATTGACCCTTATGACTGGTTTTGTGGTCCATGGTCACATATTACAATAATAACGCCTTTCATTCTCGCTCTGTCTGACTCTGCAATAGAGTAATGAAGCAGGCTGATGACGTATCATGTCTGCTCAAACAGAGGTATGCAAATACATACGTTGACAGGCAGGTAGGACAGCCTATCATAGCGCTCGGACCGAGGGATATGATTGGGCGAACATTATATGGTCCTACGCCTTCCACAGATGATATAAATACATATAAATACATTTAGACCACTTCACTTAGTGATTGTTAATGGGATGTGAAAAGACTTCAACCAGCATTAAAAAAATGTTTTTGAACCAAATCACCTACCCTGCCATAAATAACAGACAGTGTGTGTGTGTGTGTGTGTGTGTGTATGGTTGCCTGTTAAGTTTTGTATGCATTTCTAAATTCTGATAATTACTTCTTTTAAATGTTCTAGCTCCTCAAGTTCCTATCCAGCGCCATTATTTATAACTAAACTATTAAAAATAGTTTCCATTAACTGAAATAAAAAATATAGAATTAGATAAAAACTTAAAGTTAGGTAAACTGAAATAAATCTAAATAGATATATTCCAAAACTAATAAAAATGACAAAAAGCACATATCAAAATGATTACAAATTAAAATAAAATGAAAACTGAAAATATAAAGTAAAAGCTAGTTAAAACATTTTATAAATACTATAATACAGTATATAAATAATACTAAAATAACGCTATTCCTATAGTCCATTACATTTGCAAAATCATGGTCAGTTAATTAATAATGCACGAAATCCACTCTCTTTTCCTATTTGGTTTCTCTGGAAAAGCCTTAATAGAGAGTTGTATGGGTTTCAGACAAGTAAATGTTACACATCAAAGTATATAAATGTTACATTTCAAATTATACAAGAGAATCTCACTTTTCAGATGGTACACAAGCTGCCATTTAAAATGAATTAATCTAATCAAAAATCTAATTATAATTCAGATACTTTACAATAGTTTTTGTCCTGAAATAAATTATATTTGTACACACAAACTAACAACATCCACTGTGACTTCAGCAGGATAACAATTTCTACGTGGTTTAACTGTAAGACACATCCCCTATCATGTTGAAATTTTCCTTTAGGCAAAATGATTTCTTAAACATGTCCAGGACATTTCTTTACGAGATTCACCCATAAGACTGAGAAAGAGCGAGAAGTCATTTAAGAGAGGAATGAAACACTGACGTTCATCGACAGCAGAATTTCACAGGGTCCAAACATCTAACAAACATAGTTGCTCACAGAGCAGAAATGAGAAAGGCAGCAGAACAAAGCAGGAGCTGTAGAAAGAGCACAATAGTGGCCTGGAGGTCACTGGCACAAACAGAAGAGCAGGGCAGGAGGTGAAGTGGTGGTCGTGTGGTTTTAGAGTTACCTCAGCGTCCCATGCTGCCCCGAGCCCAGCTTGCTTAAGCCCTTCCCAAAAGAGTTTGTCGTGTAGAGATAGAAACCATCTGTAGCCAGGCTGCGGCCCAGGTCTGAGTCTGAGACGGGCAAACAGAGAGAGAAAGATGACAGAGAGTGTCTGAGGAGGCAAAAGACAGCAGAGACGCACCGCAAATTCACTTTGAAAGGGGAAAATTACTTCTAGTCAACAGCAAAATAGGAGCAAGGATTGTACTGGTATGCTTAGGGCCCTATGAAATCCATTGTATTTTTTTCCAAACTCCAGTCAAATTCCAGTCTGTTTCCGTTTTTCGAGAATAAAGCATTTTAATTTTTCTGAATTCCATTTTTAATGGTAAACTGAATAATAATAATAAGGCATGTCTAAGTAATTTAAATCATTAAACTTACAATTTAACAACAATTTCTTAAAAGTTAAACCAAAATATATATTTTTTCCACAAATTCAGTTTTATTTTTCACAAATACCTTTTTTTTTCTTTTTGTTTGTTTTACTTTTTTTCACTTTAATGGTTTAGTTACATTTTAATAACCCAAAACATGTCTAATCAATTGAATAGAAAATGTTGTTGTTTTTTCAGCAAATTCTGTGTTGTCTCTCTTAATTTTCCAGGAGTTATGATTTAATACAACTTCATTATCAAAAACGATGGTAATCAAATGAAGGCATAAAAAAAAACTAAAAAAAAATTTTTTTTATGTAATCAAATGAAAATGTAACAATTCCTTTTATTTTTTGGCAAACATAGTGCTGCACAACAGAGGTTTACTGTTAAAAGTAAAACAGGAAAAAAAATAAAATTGCAAGATATTTCTTCAAAAAAATAAAAATATGTTTATTATTATTTGAGAAGTTCATTCTACTGCAGTTACATATTTCTGTTACAATTTCTTAAAGTTAAACCAAACTTTTATTTTGAAGGGTTGTCATGAAGACCACACAGAAACACAAAGAACATGCAGACTACACATTTAAATAGCTTCATATTTTCATAGTCTGTTTACAGTTTATTATTCACAGTTGTTTTTGTGTTGCTGCGCGCAAAGTAGGGCTGCACGATATTGGAAAAAACTCACATTGCGATATTTTGTTCTTCTGCTATATATATTGCGATATGAAAAAAACAAAAACAAAAACAAAAAAAAAAAAACAAGATAACTTAAAAAGCCTTATTTATACTCTGTCTGCAAAATATTATTTATTTATTTTTATTTAGATATTGGGCAGAAATGTTGGATATGCTGTTGTGAGATTCACCCAATTCCAATATACTGTTACACATCCATTTTCTTTCTCAATTGTTTACCTTCATCTAAGCCATAAGCAACTGTGTTTACAAGGATACAGAGACATGCATTTTGACATAATTTCGCGCGTATGTGTCATTACAGGCACAAATAATGCGATGTGACTATCGTGAATGCACACATCGCGATATCGATGCTCAAACGATATATCGTGCAGCCCTAGCGCAAAGTATTGAGGTTGACAGATAGACCACTATATTATTATTTAGAGCAAAAAAGCAGCAACAAGTTTTACATTTTAGAGACATTTTAAAGAATTGTGTGATCTTATAACTTTCTCAACGCAGTTACAAAAACATTGGTCAGCCATCTCTTTGTCGCTCACCTTTGCTCTCTGCTCCAGCGGCGCTGCTCTCTGGCGTGGGCAGCATGTCCTCAAAGCCCCACGAAACACTGTGCTTCCCTCCTAACAAGCAGGACGGTGAGCCTGGACCTCCCTCAAGAAGCAGCAGTCTGCAAGTGAGAGGATATTACGCATTCTTGAGCAGCAAATCAGCACATTAGAATGATTTCTGAAGGATCATGTGACGCTGAAGACTGGAGTAATGATGCTGAAAATTCAGCTTATAAAGCAGATAGTTCCGGTCCTTGATTCTGATTGGTTGAGCCTCGTTCGAACTGTTGTAAATTACTCTACAAACAAACACCTTTGTTTACTTCTGTGTGCTGCTCGGCAACCACTTTGTTGGAACCACAACTGTTTCTGAGGAGCTACATTGTTTGGTGGAAGAATACTGTTTTTATTAATATCATTACACTTTATTAGCTCTGTTTTATTTTGTGAAACCTTTCTACGTATATGGAATAAC